TGCAATATTCAATATGGACATTGTTAGATTTTCTCAGAACTTGACTCCATTAATGAAAGAACAGATTATTAGCAGCATATTTATGAAAGATCTCTGTTCTCGTCGGTATGCAGATAAGGTTTAAGCAAATCCTACCGTGTAGAGAAAGTCCTTTATAAATATCGTTATTGTGTGAATGTTCGCTGTTCATGATCCGTTCGGCGAAACGTGTTGTATCGTGTTGGTTGTTACCGTCTTGGTCAACGATGAGGCAATACTTTGGAAGCAGAGCGCATTGGCACGTGCTAATAATCTAATACATTGGCATAAATCAATGAAATCTCTTACTCTGGGAGACCAAAATATGCGGGAGCGGCATAAACAATCATCAGGTTGATGAAACTTTGCCGAAACCGGAAAAAACGTCGTTTAAAACTGCAGCACGTTGCTTGCGTATCATGTCATATGACATTCTGTTCCACTTAGATACTGCAAGTGAGCGTGTTGTTTAGTTTAAAGCCAAAGTAAACGACATTCGTCCCTTAACAATTTCTTTCTGAGATATCTGGTCATATTCGAGACATCCAATAAATATTCGTTGCGTGTGATCCTAGCAAAGACAATGATAAGTTCATTTTGCAGCGTTCAGATGATAACGTCTTCCCAGTTACAAAATATAAATCATTTTACAGTACTTATTATGCCAGAAGTTGTGAAGTAAAGTTTATTGACTGACCTTTTAATAAGTTTCCAGAGTGTTGAGCACAAAAAACGCTTTAAACAAAGCCACAGAATATGCAAGATAGAATTGGACTGGGCTCCTGAATCCTTAGGTTTCCGGATCCTTAAAGACAATTATTATTAGTAAGCGAAATTCTGTCATATTAGCTTGTACGGAATTTCTGCGTCGTCCATTACTCCTAGAAGCCTAAGAGTGTCATTTAAATGAACCATGTTCTATGTTATTTTAAAACCTGTAAGATATTTTGCCTTTTCTACTGTTTTAGCTATCTAGTCTAATTCGTTGCTCTTCATCGAGGTGTATGACGCAGACGTCGGGTTTTATAACATCACAGATCAAGTGCTTAGTGAAAAGTGAAGTTCATACCGATCTACTTAAGTTTCGCAAGTAGATACTGCGTGTTTTGAACCCCCGTTGTTTTCTCTGTGCAATTGATTCGTGTACCCGCCTTCTGATGTAGTGACACGTACTCCTGAAAAGTCCTTGGTTACTACCAGGATATTGTTACGGTCAGTAAAGACGTTGCATTGTTATAGTGACTAATGGCAATCTTCACTCTGAGGGATGAAGGCAGAAGCGTTCAAGTGTATGTTGTTATATTAGTCGAATTCTTGATATCTTGACCGTCCAGAATGAGTCTGAGTTATAGTTTTCATTTCTTAAGCAGAATTGCATGGATTGCTCTATTTCAGCAAAATGTAATAACTGTGCAGTACTTATAGTAGTACTTGTACTTAGTACTTGTTTCGTAGTGACATTCAGAAAAAAAAACATCTGAATTGAAGCTGTGTAAATCTCTATGCATAGAATATCGACAGCCCTTTTCCTAAGGTAGCAGAAATAAGAACTGTTACTGCGCACCGAAAGAGATCGTAGTGATGCCCATGTGGAAGCTGAAAATTTCGATATGCGATTCAGTGCTGTTCCTGCAAAAATGCTTATGTGCTGAGATTTTGTTCAACTGGTTCTCTAAATTTCTGCGACTAACGGTACCATATCGTAATATGTTTTAAACCAATTGAATATGGCCAGATTATCGTAATTCGCTGCGGCATCCCATTAACCTATGCCTAAGCCATGGCAGTGTAATTATGCATATTTCTCAGAATCTTGTGACTCTTGTGTTTTTGGAAAATTTTGGTTTTCATAATGGGTCTTCAAGACTGTCCAGATGGATGGATTTCACAGTGAATCTTCGTTGGTTTCATTATGAATCATCAGGCTTCTGCAGAGAATGGAGACAATCTTACTTCGCTGTTGCATGTGACTTCTTTTGTTGCCATCTTTCTGTCTCTCCGATATGCATTTAGGGTTGAACTTTTCGATGGTGTGACGATTTGTTAATAAAAGAAATAATTATCATCCTCCAAGAACGACGAGGATACTATGTGCAAGTTTTGCGAACATTAATGCTCAGAATCTTTTTCACTATTCAAGCAATGCAGCGATGTTATTTTTCTTTTCGTTATCTTTTTCCGTCCTGTTTAAGACACCATCCTGGTCTCTTCCTTCTCCCTGAGTCGTTATCTTCCTGTCGGAGAGTATGCAGCGTAAGGAAATGGTTTCATCATGCCCAAAAGTAAATACAGATGGTGGTCTTTTTTAGCATTTATAGTCAGGATATCTTTATTCTACACCGACTTGTCTCAAAGTACACTAGGCTTGATTCAGCCGTTTTCCATCGAATTTAAGGTTCATGACAAGTCTTCATGACTGAATAAAGTATCTGTTACACAGTCGATTCTCTGGGACATGAGGATCTATGGATTTATGGAAAACGGCACTATGTAACCGAGGGTTAATCATTTTCGTTCAGGATCCACTGATATAGGAGTGTCGTAAATGGAGTTTTCTGATTAGATCAGATCATTTTATATTGAATTTTTTTCCTGTTTCTTAACTACTGGCATCTTGGAATCACATATTTCAGTGTTTCGGTAGTATTAAACTTATCTGATTAATAGCCGTATAGAAGAACATCAAGACACTTTGCATAATGTGGATTCTAAATTTGAACATTTACTCATGATGAAATGTGTTATTTGTTTAACCAGGTGTTTTATCAAAATCAGCTTAGCGGCAGCGGTTAAGTTCATATCTCTATGAATATTAGTGACTTTTGATTAGCTTAAATGACGATGTCTTTTATGGCTTTACTTTCCTGGTTTTGGATTCGAATGCAAACAATCTTCATTCATGATAAAGTTCGTCATTGAGAGAATAGCGTCGCCTAAATCTTGACACAGTCTCCTTTAATAGTTATTTTATTGGTTAGAATCACATGTCCAACTCATCAGTTAGACTATATTTGCTCTAAAATTACCGCTGTTATGAAAAAAATATTTTATGTCGACTCTCAGCGATTTAAATTATGTATTAATTTTGATATTTAGTTAGTTTATCTATTGTGTCTATATTAAATTTTATTTATATCCTGATAATTAGTAAGATGCCAGATGAATTAAGTTGAATTGCAGTCGTAAATCACACATTTCAGGCAGCATGGTTATATGTCACCAGACAACCATACTGTCGCTAATATTTGCAGGTCAGCGACTTGCTACTCGTTGCTCTTCTGGTGGTATCGAAACACAGTCGGATTGAGTTCCTTAATGTCAATCCGAATGTAAATAAGGAATTTTGTGATGTGCATGGAACTCCAACCCATCATTTAACGTGTGGAGTATCACTACATTCACTACACAGCTGCCCCCTTCCCCATTTTATTATAATTTATGGCAATTTAGGATTATCTGGGTTACAAGATCGACTCACAGGTTATTTCATATATTACTGGAGTACTGGTATACATTGGAGCCGATATACTAAAGGTATGAATGACTCTTACAAGTGTGCGATATATTATGTTTAATAACTCCGTCATTTTAGCTCACTGGAAATTACATAAAGAATATAAGGCACAATGAAATTACCTTACAAGACTTAAAAGTGGCAATGAGGGCTGATACTGTAAGTATGTTATATGTTGTACTATGTTTTACTTTGAACAGCTCTGTATTTTGCGTTAACTGTAAAATTGAATTGATTTATAAGTAATTTTGAAGTTCGTCTGTTTCGTTGCCTCTTATTATCAGAAATTTTCTGCATCCCTGGTTAGAGGCACCGTAAATTCACTAAATTTTTATTTTGAGAATGACACTATATATGTGAATCCACCCACCATAGGAGTTTTTTTATTGTGTATGGAAGCAGTCAACCAGCGGTTGATTTCATGTCGAGTAATTGTTTCAGACCTCTTAACACCGCTCTTTAAATAATTTTTTCATACATTTATTTTTAACGGAAGTAAGGTTTGAAGATAGCACACAGACATTTCGTGATGCTCTTGTTGTCAATTTGATTGCTTTACTCTTCTAATTTTGTACCTATGTAGGTTTTGATGGACCTGTTTTACCGCGATGACGAAGAACCGTGGTCAGCGTCTCTCACCACAGAAGACTTGGTGTCGAAGCGTATCAGCTCCTTGAGCTATGAGCAGATTGTGCGCGATCTTGTACATTGTGAAGTGCAGTTTTTGCGGGACGTGAATATGATCGTCAGGGTTTTTCGACGTGCATTGGTCGATGTTTTGGACGAGAGAAGCCAAGAGATTGAAGTGATTTTCAGTAACATTTTGGATATCCAAGAGTTTACTGCCCGTTTCCTTGGTTCATTGGAGGACACGGTGGAGATGTGTCGAGAGCTGGAAACTCCTTATGTGGGAAATTGTTTCTTGGAAATGGCCGAGGTACCACTGGCTATTTGTAAACAAGTTTCAAATTCGTTTGCTTTTACACTGATTCAACGTAGTAAGCCGGTTGGTCTTTATTGTCTTTGTCGTCGAAGGTTAAAGGAGGTTGATCAGCATCATTTCACTAGTTTGTGGTGTGACATTGCCTTTAAAGCTTGCTCTAACTTCGTGACAGAGTGAAGCTCTGTGCGCGCTTACGCTGTAAACGAGGTGCTTGTTAGGTTGCTCCCTGTTGTGTGCGGTCATGGTAAAGGGTTATAATTAAAAGAACAAGTTTACTTGTAAATTGGTATGTGACCTGTTTTGCAGGACCTGTCGAGCAATAAATGCTATTAATGACGAAACATAGGATAGCCATTAGGAAACGTATCGCTGACCATGTTTTGTCCACAGCCTAGAAGTGTCCTAATTTTAACAGCAGTGATATGATGCTAGTCCATTGACATCGCAACAAGATGAAGTTATTAATCAGTGAGTCATTTTATGCCGCAGCCAATCTAAGCAGTTGTAACTGTTGCATTAGCGTCTTTAGCATTTTTGTCGTATAGACCCTAATTAACTTCCTCATTAATGACAGCCAAAGGGCAAGCTTTAAATTACGCTAGTAGTAAATTACGCTGGCAGTTGTTTATTGCATTGTATAATTGCTGGTGAATGACTTCTGGCGAATGCTGGCTAATTGCGTCTAAACTTCAGCTCCACATTTAATAAATAATATTTTTTGTCTTGCTTGCTGTTAAGCATGGAATCGAAAGATATCCGCTTTTTGTTATCTATTGATTTTGATATTGTTTCTCTCCGGTCATTCAGTTGCGAAATATTAGTTATAATTTCGTCGATGTCCAACAGCAGCATTCTCTGGTGATCTTTGGAAAACAGGGATTTTTTTTGCAATTTCAATTACTACATTAATTTTATGTTTTAATTCTTTTTTGCTTTCTTTATGAAGGATGTAACTTGCTCGTTTATTTTTTAAATTTATCGATTAAATTGAGATTCTAAATATATTTACGATTAACCAATTTTGAAACAGTTACTGGATTGAAGTGTCATAGCACCTTGGAAGGGAGGACTGTAGTTTTTTCTTTCTTTCAGAAGTAAACATGGTAATTTGCAGCAAGGAGTTATTGCGAAAACGGAGAATTTTGATTTCGTCTGGTGGGAATAGGTTGTGAAAGCGTAT